CCTAGAATCTTTAAATAAGATTTTAAGAAGCCATTTTAAGAAAACATTCTGTGTTTTATTCCTTCACGTAAAGCCACCAATAACTTTGAGAAATAAGCTAAAATATAACAGAGTAAAAGATGTACTTTTGGTAACATCACAAATTATATTTCTCTCATTTTTTTCTCTCCTAAGTTGAGGAGGATAAATTTCCCTATAGGTGAATCAATGCAAACAGCCTTTTCTTCTGCCTTAGGGTGAAATGGCTGAGGGGGTGCCCATCTTCAAGATACAATGGAGTATCTGGGAGTTACAAGCATTTGTACACAATGAAATCACTTGTAAGAAGGCTTACAAGTGAACCAAGAAGAAGAAAAAAACATGCCTAGAGCGAATTAACAGGTTTGGAGGAAAGAGAAACAAGGCAAAAAAGAGCAGCAGGGCTTTTTTTCCCTATTCCCTATTGCTTTGTAGAAGAAACAGTGCTTTGCCCATAAATAATGCAATTTCTAAGTACCCCGAAGGTACCAAAAAGACAGGCTGTTATCTTCACACACTGACAAAGTAGCCTAATGCATCTCCGATAGAAGTTATTGCTCTTCAGTCAACAGTCTTTTTAATGGCTTGTATTTTCTGTTTGGCTGTCCGCTTCAGCTGACATACAAGTCTTCAATCCTTGGAGTTTATGCACACAGGCACACAGACAGACATGGGCTTGCTTTTTCTACGTTAAAAAATGTATCTGATGTAGCCAAGGACTAGTGAGGCATCTCGTGCCACATGAACACAACACCTGCATTGTGATAACCCACCTTTAGGGTTTAATATATTGTGTGAACATGTTTTTGGCCATGTGCTTAAGGTCTGGTGAATGACTGTTGATGATGAACAAAACATTCAAGCACAGCAACATGGCTTTAAAGGGCAGGGAAAGAGATGCAGAATGTTAGCTATACCACCTGGGAAGTAGCAGAAGTCAAAATGTACTGTCCTAGAGAGGCACCTTTCCATACAGAGGCTATATTGACAGTCTTCTGCAAGGGGGAGAGGAGTAGCAAATGATGTGTGTGGTGACGAACCATGTGGCTTCCATCAACACAAAGTGGCCATTAACTACTATAGTCTGTTGTTTGAAGTTTGCTTCTGTTGGTTGGTTGATTCCATGTGTTGTATAAACCGGAGAAAATTGAATAAATCGCTACAGTTTTCAGACTAAATGTAGCTATGCATGTCATGGAAAACAGCTTGAGGCAACTTCAGAAACAAACATGAATACAATGAGAATTTTATGGAGTAGGAAATATTTCTTCAGAGTATTATGAAAGTGTAATTTGCGAACCATCCATGGAAACACCCATGGAAAGTAGAATATGCCAACCATCAGATGTCTTTTAGACATCACAACATCTGGATGTCCCAAAGGGTGGCCTTTCTAAAACACAGCTATGTGCAGAAGAGAGGTTTGGTTTTAAGCATCTGGCCTGGAAACACCTCAATTCAAGTCCTGGGGGGGTAGGATGTCGCGCCACCAAAGACCTCTCCCGATGATTTGGGATCTGGTCTCTCTCAGCCCAACTCACCAAATGCAATAGAAGTGTTTTCATGGAGATACCTTAGAAAAATCAATGCTAAAAAAGAAAATCAACTTTGACTATCCTTTGAAAGAACAGATACTGAAGCTGAAGCTCAAATACTTTGACCACCAAATGCAAAAGGTGCATGGAAAAGATCCTAAAATTGGGAAATATTGAAGGCAAAAGGAGAAGGGATGGCTAGATATTCCCAAAGGTGCTTTTTTTCAAAACTGGACTGACTGGACTTCGTTTTTTCTTGAAGATGTTTCTTGGATAAGAAGCAGAAAGCCTTTGAGCAAGGAAAAAAACCCCAGAAAACCAAATCAAACAAACAAATGAAGTCACCTTTTGAAAAAATCATCCTTTGGGACAAGGTGACCTGGATGACTGAGAATCTCCAGAGATATGACTGGTTAGATATTGTCGGGGGGGTGGGGGTGGGGGCTGCTGTTTAGGTAGACTCAGGGAGACTGTGGAAGATAGGAGTGTGGCTGGAGTTAGTATGGCCCATGGAGTCGCGAAGAGTCGGACCCGAGTTAGCGATTGCACAACCACCACCACCACCTTAGACAAGGCGCGGTATAAATGCATCAACAAATGTTGCGTCTGAAGAGCACCATCTTGTTCCCACGATCTTCCAAGGGGCAGCTGATTCTTAGTCGCTCTGATACTAAAGAACAAGCCAAGCCCCTTAGAAAGCTACACAACAACAACAATAACAACGACAACAACAGCAAAAAGGATTGGGGAGTTGGGGCGGTCAAGCCACCCGGGGCGATCTTAGGGAGCCCAAACGCGCGAGCGTCCCGCGAGCCACTTGTTTCAGGCCGGAACCTCCCAATTGCGTCCGCCTCGCCTCGCCTCTCTCTCTCTCCCTCTCTCTCCTGCTGGCTCTCTCGCCCAGCACAGCGCGATTTACTGGGGTTTCTGTGGCAACGTGGCTCTTTTGTCCTCCTCTCCATCCGCAGGAAACGCAAGGTGGATCGGTCGGCTTTGGAGAAGACTATTGGGAATCGGAGGTGGGGGGGTGCTCAGCGGGCCGACAGGTGCAGCTGGCTGGCGGTCTGCGGGAGCTGAAGCCACTTCCAGGTGAGGTGAGTCCTCACGTGCTCGGCAGGTATAACTGGATGGGAGAGAGCCTCCTTCCTTTAACCCGCAAACCTCTTGGGGTCTTTCCAGCCTTCCTGGTCATTTAAAAACCACGCCCTCCCTGTTTGTTCTACCCTGCGGGGTTGTTGTGACAATCTAACCAGGGAGGCAGAAGGAAAAAAAAACCTCTCTTGTGCATGTCAGCTTGAAAAGGGGGAGATAGAACCATCCTGAATAAAAGAAGGACTTCACAATTATGCTTTTCTTTTCTCAACGTGGTCGCTTCGCTGGCTTTCTTGTTCTCCATCTGTGCTGAGAAACAAGAAACAAGGTGGCTGTTTCCTTTATTTCAGCTCTGATTGGTAGTTAGCAGGGTGATCCGTGATGATTGACATGTTTGAGTCTAGCCCAGTCCAAGAGTGGAAAGGGTATAAGCCAGCAGTTCACAGAGATTTTCCTGAAAGTGAAGAAAAATCTTTTGTGTACAATTAAGGCTTGCCAATTATGAATCTGACATGCTAAGTTGAGCTGGGACTTAAAGTAAAAAACAAAACAAAAACAAAACACCATTGATTTTTATGTACTTGTTTGAGATGCCTTTCTCACCCGCTTGCTTAGGAAAACTTAACCATAGACACCGCTACTAACAAGCTTAATAATAACATAAATAAGTTATACAACTTCTGAAAAACAAGCAAACCCTTTTTTCTGAAAGGAGGCACAGGAAAATCACGCACATTACAGCTGAGGTATCTGATCACAAGACAGCTGGGTTGCTGGCATATATAAAGTTGCAGAGCAACTTTTTAAAAACCAGGTAAGGAAACTCTGTTCAAATAGCAGTAAGTGAAACTTAAATTATCCTGTGGGCTTTCCCCTCCCTGATTGTGCTTGGCCTTTTACTCGATTTCTTTGTTATTTTGGAAAAAAGTATGTTCCTTTGTCCTTTACTCATTTCCTTCCTCCTAAGGGTGGATAAAAATTAAGTGCACTGTTAGCTAAAGGTGGAATTCTAAACTTTAGCGGCTGTGATCAGCTAACCGATGCTGCCACGTTTTAAGAATGGAAGCCTTAACTTACCTGGACACGGTTCTCTCCTACAAAACCATTTGAAATGCTTGACTGAGTTCAGCATAAATTGCTGGCTGGGAGAAAGGACAAATATAAGATTCTGTTTGGAGACCAGAAGAAAGGAAATGGATGAGCAAGGAACAGAAACCTGTACACTTCTGGGTTGCCCAGTTCAGAAAAGGTTACAAGTTGCTGTCTGTCTGTGGTAGAGTTTAATGATCAATTTTGCTCCAGGTGCTCTTTCTGAAACTGGAGTGACAGGAGGGGCGATTAGTATGAGTCATCAGCACAGTGAAGGAAGAGGAAGGTTGTCTACAGAGTTCAATTCTGATTTGCTTGGGTAAAAGATATCTTCAGCTAGGCACTGAGGAGGTGTTTCCCCCCCCCCCCACACCTGGAATTGGAACTGAGATCGCGTAAAAAAGTAAGTGTTTTATAATCTGCATCCTATCTATGGGACTCAATTGAATAGTTTCTTTGGTGAGGAAAGACAATAGTAGTCCAGCAGCGTACGTAATTTCTGGTATAAAAGTTAAAGGAATTTGCAAAAGGGGGATGAATGAGAATGGATGTCTCGCCTGAGTTTAAAGGAAGTGATTAAAGATTCAAAATTTGAAACAACTGGTACCAAGTATCTCAGTTTTGTTTGTTTTATTTCTGGCTTGTGAACAAGAAAGTCTAGTGCGCATTGTTGACACTTCACCTCCTAAAGTCTTCTTAATGTTTAAACATATTGCTTTTGAAAATGAAGGTGGGGCAAATGGAATAGAGACTTTTTTTTGCTTATTTTTCTTCCTGGCATATTGCAATGTTTATTTTCCCCCCCATTTGACGATAAAGATCAGGTTTAAAAGATCTAAGATGGCATGTAGAGTGGAAGCAATAAGAAATCAATCTTTTTAATGACTTTGGGAAACCTAGGAAATTAATCTGACCCTAGTCCTAATTTCCTTCTCAGTGCACCTTCTCTTGCCATTGCAATTCTCCATTCTTTTGCAAGATGTGAAATCAATGGCAAATAGGGACCGAGGTTCTTTCTATTCTTAATGAGCAAAATAGGAACCTTAAAAACCTCCTGTGACTGCAAAAGCATTGCCATGGCAATGAAAATGATGGCCAATGGCAATATAACCAGATAAAAAAAAAAACATGGATTTACCAGAAAGCTTCCTGCTACTATTTCTGCTTGCTTACCTTTGTTCTAAGGCTTCCAAAATTATTACACGGTTGCAACAACTCTGTGCTTAATATGAAGGAAACCAGTTGCCCATTTGAATCTTGCTGGCATACGTGTTAATAAAGATGAGGCTGAAGGTTGGTGCTTGAAATAACTCTTGAGATTATATTTTTAAAAGTATTCATCCTGTCGATTCTTTAAAATAGCAAATTTCAGTGGGTCTTCTACCTTTGTCAATTTGGAGCAGTTACCTCTATTGTCTCATCTCTGGAAAAGGTCCTGAATAAAATAATTTTTTTTTCATCTACTGCATTTCCCCCCCCTCTATACTGCTAATGGATAGAGTAGTAATGCACAGGAAGAAACCTGTTGATTCTTCTGTATCTAAATGATATAGTAGGGAATTGCAGTTTTAGAAAAATAAATGTGATATATTTTAAAAATAGACAAGAGCCAGAGAAGCTTATTGAGGTGGACATAGTCTGCAATGTTTTGGAATAATAATATATTATTAACTCTTCGTCTACAACCCAGTACATCCTGCTCTGCTTGGTTTTGATTTTGTTGCTATTGATCATGTTGCAACTTGTAATATTAGTCTTTAGGGATGATTCTCTTGGTTTTTAAAACAAGATATCATCCTGTTCTTTTATTATCCAAGAAGATTACTGGCTATATTGCACTCCACTTTTAGTAGATCCCTTTAACTCAATGAGTAAGTGACATACCTTTGCAACATATTGTGGTTTTTCTACCCAGTATGGGATACCATTGGGATAATGATTCATATTACCTTCTGTTTTCTGTTGAAGTCTTTCTGTGTCTGCATATACATCTTTCCCATTTCTTGGTTAAATTTCCCGTCTGCACCGCTGCTATGGATATGTGATCTCCCCTGGACTTTCTATATTTGTCCGTATAATTCATTTTATTTTGTATTCTTTTAAATTAAAGTTTGTTATAAGATAACATACAAATAAAAACAAAAGTCAGGAAAGATAAAGAAGAAAGAAGAGAGCTGCAAAGAGGAAGAAAGGAAGGAAGGAATCAATTCCTTTTGTCCATATGATTTCATAACGCAATTCTAAGTGAAAAATGTGTTTTGCAATCATCAGAGAGGAATTTATTGGGCAGCCAAAGTACCACATGGTTTGTATCTTTTACCGTCCTGATCACTCCCCATATTCACATATATAACAGGAGTTGGAAGAGACTTTGGAGATCTTCTAGCCAAACCCCTTCTCAAGCAGGAGACCCTGTACCTTTTACAGCAAATCCTTGTCTAATCTCTTCTGAAAAACCTCCAGTGTTGCAGCACCTACAACTTCTGGAGGCAAGTCGTTCCACTGACTGTTCTACATTGTCAGGAAATTTCTTCTTAATTCTAGGTTGGTTTCTCCTCTGGGTTGAGCAGATTAAATAGGAAAGGGAAAGGCGAGTGGGAAATCCAGGTTCTCTATATCAAGTAAGGAGGAAGGTTATGTATTCGTTGTATGTTTGGACTAGTGTAGCCACCTCTTGAATAATATATTATTACCCATTTTTAAGCCATTCCTGGTGTCTTTCAAATAATGCCACCAAAAACTGGAAACAGACTTTATACATGTATTTAAAGTGGGGAGTGGGGGGAAATCTCATTGCCTTCTCCAATGAAAAAGGGGCTGATAAATCAGCTTTGTCTCTTACGGCGTCACCATATTAATGCCAGATCTGTAGATGGGAAGCATGACAAGGCAAATTGCACAAAAATGTCATTTTCCGGAAGGCTTTTTATTCTTTCAATTCTTGTTGATAGATGTGTGTAAGGAAAAACAATAGTTTTCCTCTCTCTGTCCTTTGCCTGTTGAATGTAACTGTTTTCCATAAAATTTAAACAGGATTTTTTTTCTACTCTGCCTGTCCCTGACATTATTCCCTTCCCAATGTAGCTACTCCTTTGCTCAACCTGCTTTTCTGTTGTTTATGCTTTACTACTATAATGAGGGAAGGGAGTACCAGCGGAGAAGGGAATAAGTGACCCATCTTTACATATCAGTCATGTAAAGTTATACATTGGATGTCTTAATTTACAGACAATTAAATCAATAAAGAAATGAGTAGGCATGATGAAGGCTGAGTTTGGTTAGACATAAAAGTTTGGCAGGTAGAAGAGCCCTATTGTGGCCAAAATCTGGCTGGCTCAAAGCAATCAAATCTCTTTAAAGATACAACATAAATGTATTAATATGCAGATGATAAATCAACATTTATTGGGCTCTTAGCAAGCATTGGCAACTTGCTGGGCAGCCCTGATCAAAAGTAGAACCTCAATTTGTATACCTCTGGGCTATTATATTTCAAAGAGAAGACAAAATTAGAACAGATCCAGTGTAAATTGCAGCATGATGTTGGATTGTTTTTGATAAACCCATCTGGATGACTTTCTAATTATTTATCCCTTCCCACTAGGTCAGCTTCCTAGCCACACTGTTTTGGAGACAGGCTCACTGAATATAAACAATTTGGTTTATTGGGTCACATGGTTCCTGACTGATTCTTCTTTTTTGTCATCACTGTGGGCCAATTCAGCTTGCTGTGAATGTTTTGTTAACTTTACAAGGGCATCTCATATCATTGGTAGTGACTGCAGCTCACATACGTATCGTGTTTTTCGCACTATAAGATGCACTGGTCCATAAGATGTATATTAGCTTTAGAGGAGGAAAACAAGAAAAAAAATCTGCTTCTGCCTCCCAGCAGCCATCCGGTATTCATCTGGCTAGCATCCTTGCAGCAAACAGCAAACAGCTTCAGCACGTTATCGCAGCCCCAGCATGTGGCTCGTCAGGGCTCTGCACCCACCATCGGTCAACTGAGCTGAGCTGTTGCCACCACTGGGGAATGCTGGAGCCTCCACTGCTGAGCAGCTGATTGTCGGTTGGATCGGCCTCCTGGAATACCACCTGTTTTAGATGATGGGGATTGCCGCTGCCACCTATTGCAACTGCCTATCACCGCCGCCGCTTGCTACTTGCCATCGCTGCTTGTCACTGATCACCGCCCCTTGCCGCCATCACCAACTGCTGCTGCCGCCATTTGTGGCGAACGGCAGTGGTGATCCCTACTGCCTAGAACAGCTGATTGGTGGTATTCTGAGAGACTGATCCAACCGCCAATCAGCTGCTTCATTGTTCCCTGGCGGTAGCGAACAGTGGCAGTGATAGGCAGCTGCGATAGGTGGCAGCGGCAATCCCCATCATCTATAATACGCGGTATTCTAAGAGGCCGATCCAACTGACAATCAGCTGCTCAGCAGTGACCAACCCCCTCCCACCATCACAGTATTCACTCTAAGATGCACAGACATTTCCACCCACTTTTTTGGGGGGGAAAAACTTATGCGAAAAATACAGTATATAGGGCATCTTACAATCTTATTCCCCATTTCTTTTCTCCCCCCTTCACATGTACAAAATGATGGAAGGGCTTGGAGTGAGTGAGTGAGGAAGGAAGGAAGAACGGAGACTGAATATGAGAGCAACCTCCACAGAGAGAAAAGGAGATAGCCACAAGCATTTTTAGCATTTTAGGTTTTAGTAAATGTATTATGTTTCATAATAATGCCTGGACATCTTATACTTGCAGATCTACCCCCCCCCCCCAGGGTAAAAAAAATTGTTGCCTAATCTTACTCATGCTTTTATGAGATTAACAGCCCACCTTTTATTCAAGAGTTCAAAGCAGAATGCATCATTTCTTCTTCTTCTTCTTTTCCATGCAATAGCAGTTCTGTGATGTTGGTTGAGCTACAAGTGACTAGCTTAGAACCAACCAATGATATTTCCTGGCTGATGGTAGACTTAAACCCGAATCTTCCTGCTCCTGATCCAGCACTTTCACCATTGCACATTTTGTGAGATCGTGGTGAAGAAGGCCAGTCCCCTCAATTTGGGTACTAATGAATTGGATTTAGTAATGTCACTGTTTTTCCAGGTTTGAATCTTTACATCTTTTTTCACTTTCACCCTGAAGGTTATGTTGCACAGCACGGAGCTGGCATTTGCCAGAAACAGAAACAAGACTAAGCCAATTATCTTAATCTAGTTAGGTATTTTAATTCAATAAAACCTCTGTCTCTGACTAGAAATTGTGTGGTTTACTGATAAAGATCTTTTAGTATCAGTCCTTCTTTCATGCACTGTTTCTTTCCAAATATATTTTTCTCCCCACCTTCAATAAGTGGGCCGCTGTTTCTGGCTATCAGTTTTCCTGAAAAAACAAACAAACCACAATACTGTATTCCATGCACTTCCATCTTAAACCTCTAGACTAGAGGTATCAAACTCAAGTCCTGCGGCCCGCATTCAGCCTGCGGGGTGCTTAGATATGGACCACAGGCCCACTTGGGAAACAGTGAAGGACCGATTCACGGTGCTTCTGTTAGCGAAAATTGAGTTTGGGAGGCCCGTGCGTGGCCTCCCTCCCTGGCCTCCGTTTTGAAATACAAAACATAACAACAACTGTATCATCTGCTGCACCACTTTAACACCACAAGCATTGACAACATCAGTCAATTGATAAAAGCAGCTTTACTTTGAACAGTTTACATCTTGCGATAACCTGTAATAATATTTAATAACATCTGCCTGTCCCAGATTCTTGGGAATGCCTCGGTAGGTGGACAGAAATGCCAAATGTAGCCTAAAAATCTGGCTGACTGTGTTACCAACCACACTACTTTATTAAACTTGTATGGGTAGTCCTTGACTTACAACAGTTCATTTAATGACCGTTTGAAGTTAGAACGGCATTGAAACAAATGGCTTATTTTTTTCACACTTATGACCACTGCAGCATCCCATGAGCATGTGGTCAAAATTCAGATGCTTTTGGCAACTGACTCATATCTATGATGGTTGCAGTGTCACGGGGTAACACGATCACATTTTGCGATCTTCCGACAGTCAAATGGAGAAGCCAGATTCTTAACTAAGGTGTTAACTAGATAACTAAAATTTTAATAGTGAACTAAGGACTTTTAACAGAAGCTACTTTTAAGAAAACCCGAAGAACATAACATTAACATTATAGTGTCTGAAATATGTGTCCTAGGAAAATATTGTTTTATAAATTTTATAAAGAGCAGCTTTCAGCCTGATGTTGGAGGACTAAATGCATGCCAAGCTATTGTTTTGTTACCCTTTTCATGTATTTCTTCTAACTCCTTATCTGATTACTACTATCCAGCAAACAGCTGACCCTGAGAGAGACTGCAGAGGGCTAAAGTACTCCTGTCTACTGTTTGCCTTCAGCTTGAAGCTATTCGAGTGGTTTATTTAACAACTGTGTTACTAACTTAACCCTTGCAATGATTCACTTAACCACTGTGGCAAGAAAAGTCGTAAAATGGGGCAAAATTCACTTATGTTTTGGGGCTCAATTACGATTGTTAGTCGAGAACTACCTGTGTGTATACCACCTAACTCTCAGTAACTCTGGTTGGCTCAAACAAACAAATTACAGTACAGACAATAAAAGATAAAGGTAAAAGGTGATGTGAAGAAGGAAGGGATCTTATTCACCCTTGCCAAAGGTTTCAGTGATATAGGGGTAACAGCTGCTCAGTGTTCTCTCCCCCATTTGGCCTCCTAATCCAGGAAAGGGAAGAAAAATCCGTAATGGGACAAGATGGAGAAAAAATATATTTGGGTGTTGATTTTCCTCCCTCTCTCTTTCCAAATTTGGCAGCTCAAGAGTCATTTGGGAAAACGCCCAAAGATGGATGAGACTCCTGCCAGGCCTGCAAGCCCTATCGGACTGACCTATGTCGTGGCCGCCTCACAGATCTTGGGTCTTGCTGTTATCACGGTGATGGCGGCCTGGATCGGACAGTATCGAGGTGGCGTTGCCTGGGACAGCTCTCAACTACTGTTTAACGTCCACCCCCTGTGCATGGTCATCGGCATGGTGTTTCTTCAAGGAGATGGTAAGAATTTTGAAAGAAATGAGGGGTCTGCTTTGACAGGAAGCTATCGCATGCAAGGCATGGGGATGAGGCTTGTCATCCGAGGGAAGAGACATAATTAGGTGTGGCTGGAGTCCTAGTTTGCAATGGGGGTAAACTGGCTGAGACCTTTTGGCTTCTCCCACAAATGAGAAGGGCTCAGAGAGGTTCAGGAGGTTTCCCCTCCTTCCAGCTGCATCTCCCCTCCTTCCAGTTGGGGACCCCCCAAGTTATGATTTGGCTTAGCAGCCAGTTATAATTTTTGACAGCTTGGTATATACAGTATTTCAAAATTTTACCTACTTGTTTCTGTGTGAATGTCTGTGTGTGTATGTGGTTTGCTGCCAGTTTTACTACCGGTTCTCAACACACGTGCAATACACACACGTGTGAGCAAAGCGAGTACACGCACCAGACGTGTTGCGTGCGCGTGAGCTGTTCAATGTAAATTGTTCTGTGGATCAAAGAATATTGTTCTTTGTGCATGCACAGCACAATTGCACATGCAGGGAACTGGTTCGGGGGTGTGGCAGGCCTGGGTCACTGCCAGTTCTGTGACCCAGGCCTGAATTCCATTACTGATTCGGCCGAACCGGGGCCAAATCGGGAGCAACCCACCTCTGGTTTGTGTGTGTTTGTGTGTGTGTGTTTGTGTGTGTGTGTGTGTGTGTGTGTGTGTACTTTTTAGAGAATCAGTTACTATAGAGCACATCCTAAAAGGAGCTGAACCCAGAACCCTGATCAGATGGGGGGAAACGTTCCTTGCAAATCATTTGCCATTTTGAAAAGAAAATTACGCTTGCCCATATTTGGACAGGCGGTAGAGCATCAGGTGCATTGTGTTCCATTTATAGCATTGCTAAGAATCCTTTCACTTGCCTACTTGACATAGAGCTTCTAATGATTCAGGAGCAAGCAAGGGACAAAAACACTGGGAAACTGCCAGGAACATTTTGGTCATTGTTGATGCTCGTGGGATAAGCAGACTTTTTTCTGCTCTTCGTGCACTCCAGTGTCGATTGTTTAATCTGTGGAAAGGGAGCAAGAGGAAGGCATTGCCTTCGCAATGGAAGGCAAGAGAAAGAGCGTTAGCAGTTGGAGCACAGAGACCCTCAATCTGCATGCGCAGAAAAATAATGCACCTGTGTTCAGTCTTTGGAGTCCCCGGTATGCTTCCTCTGGTGATCTCCTGCTGCGTTTACACCCCTCCTTCCCGTTGCCATTGACAACCATGATCCATCTTTTCTCAAATCAGTCAGGTAGCCTGTAGAATGGGAGCTGCGTAGCTACCGCTGCCTTAAGTTCCCTCTTGGCTGCATATATTTATTTAAAATATTCAAATCTCACGCTCCTAATTTGTGCCCATGAAACTGATATGCATAAAGACATAAAACAAATAATAAAACCCCCGAAGCAGCTCAAATTATAGCCATCTGAAAGTCCTTGGATCAGTTGAAATGCTTTTGCTTAATAGCCCAAAGGCTGCAATCAATTCGGGCAAGAAAGTGAGGAAGCAAGGGGAACTGATCAGATACCCACCTCATTCCTATTTCCTTTTCTTATCCACCAGCCCTTCTGGTTTACCGTGTCTTCAGGAATGAGAGCAAGAAATCCACGAAGATCCTCCACGGGCTGATCCATTTCTTTGCACTTATCATTGCGTTGGTTGGTAAGGCACAATGAACCTGGCTGGGAGCCTTCTGTCACACTTTCTAAGCTGGTCATCACTGATGTTCCTATTGATCTTAGGCTCACAGATTACTCGAGAGCTTCTATCTCAGTGTTATTCTTTAGTAAGCCATAGATGCAACATTTTCTGCCTCTCCTGAAGAATAAACCATTGGGCAGCATTTCTTTACCTATCTAAAGTGTATTTATACTGGAATGGTTGGGGTGGGGTGGAGCAAAGTGTGACTGTGCCTGCCTGCCATTTTCCTCTCACAACAATGCAACTGATGGCTTGTTTGCAGCTTGCACTGATATTTTAGTATGTAGTGTATCCTCCATTCTTATATTGTTAAAAAGGGGGAAAGAAAGAGGTCTCTTTTGCCACTTTTGCCTGGGAATTAAAAAAAAGCTAATGGGAATTTATTTAATATTATTACCAAGGGAAACGGAGGGACAGATATATGCATATTTGCTAGGAGTTGAATTTGACTTGATGGAAAGTCTGCTAACAGGGGACGGATAACCATGTCACTACAAAGGGTCCCTGCTAAAAATTCCTTCAAGTTGATCATTACTGAGTTCAGCCTTCTGCTCAGTGCAGAAATCCAAATAACAGCCTTTGGGATAGATGATTGTCCAGCCAGTTGTACATATCCAATGAAGAAATGCCTATATCTTTTAGGCAACAACCAAATTGCTCTTTCTATTAGAATTTTTCTCTTCACGCTTGGTTGGAAGAGGTCCTCCTGTGTAACTCAAACCCATCCTTTAGTCTTTATTTAAAGGCTGCAATGAAAATCCCTCCCCTATCCCTGGCCCCCAGTTACTGTAAGTTGGGGAAAGATGTCCTCCATGGTCACCAAAAGACGAAAGGGATTTTGGAACACATTTTCTGGCTTGGAAAATTTTGGAATGCCAAGGGCCATTTTTGTTGCCGCAGATAAGGGTGGGCCTGCTATTCTTCTATTTCCCAACTATTCCTAGAGTAGTATCAACATTATGGAGCAGATAGTGGTATGTTAGAAGAGAATGGGAGTTTTCTAAGGAATTTGCCTGCCCTCTTTCCCTTTAGGTCTGATTGCTGTTTTCCAGCACCACAAGAATCAAGGTTTTCCAGATATGTACAGCCTGCACAGCTGGTGTGGCATCATTGCATTTGGCTTCTACTTAGCACAGGTGAGGTGGGCTAATTGCACGTGGTTGTCAGATGCTACTTCATTTAATAATCAGGAAAGAAACCACTCAACTCCATTTGCTTGAAACTAAGTGTACTTTTACTACACTAGTAACTAAGTGTACTATTACTAATTGTAAAACTATTACTAATAGTAAAACTATTACTTTTACTACACTAGTAACTAAGTGTACTATTACTAATTGTAAAACTATTACTAATAGTAAAACTATTACTTTTACTACACTAGTAACTAAGTGTACTATTACTAATTGTAAAACTATTACTAATAGTAAAACTATTACTTTTACTACACTAGTAACTAAGTGTACTATTACTA